GCTTTGGGGGAAGGGGGGAGTCCAAGGATTTTAAGTGACAGTCAGATTTATGACACTCAGGTGACTGAAGGCAGAGACCCTGTGTCATTCATCGTCAATTAAGTCCATAGTGGCTAGTACACATTAGCTGAATGAATGCAAGTCTCTTTGTCTCTCTGATTAATTTAGTAAATGACTTCTTTTGAGGTGACTAATCCTGCCTTAAATTCCAAAAAGTTAATTTATAAAAAAAATGAACAGTTGGCAATCTCTCTGCTGAAATCTGGCCCCATGTGGCTAACTCTTCATTCCAGTGAGAAACTGGGCACTTGAAGGAAGCAGTGGAACGGGATGGACAGCCCGTCATGTCCCATGAGCAGCTGGAGGCCACAAGAGGACAGTTCTCAATAGTGAAGAGAAATGGGACCCAGCTCCCAGAGGAGGCCATGCCGGTCCTTCCCTTCCGGCAGCCAGGCCTCCTCACCACTGAGCACCATTCGTTAGTGCTCTCTGGACATCTCCTTAGAAGTGCTAATAGGTTAGTGAGTCCCTTTGCCTGGTAAGTGAATGCAGCTTAACATACACCGGGGCTGTGCCAAGCACTCCTCTCCTCTTAGCTCTAAGAACTATTATGCAAACCCCTGAGGTCAGTACTATTGTCATCGCCATCTTACAGATGTGGAAGCACAGGCTTCTGAGACAGTCATTCGGTAACTCGCCCAAGGTCACTAAGGCTCACTCAGTGAGGTCAGAGTTTTCTTGTTTGAAATTTATCTGTATTGTTAAAAGTATTACAGATGTCCCCTTTTTAATTTTGTTGTTGTTGTTGCTGTTTTTCTTCCCATTGATCCTATCCTCTCCGCACCTGGCACACCCTAACCTTTGCCACACGATAGTTTGTGTCCATGGGCTCTGCATATATGCATATATGTTCCCCGGTTAACCTCTCCTCCCCGACCCCCTCACCACAACCTTCCCCCTGAAATTCATCAGTCTATTCCACAAATAGCTTTCTGAGAGGCAGAAATGGTTACTTTCACCCACATCAGCACCCTTTCATGACAGCACTAAAGAGCGAGTAGAGGACAGGACCTCTCACTCACATAATACTTAGGGAGCATCACTATCTATTGGCCAGAACAGTAACTATCAGCTGTGCTTGCACTAGTGCTCCAGCCGCGAGGCAAACACACAGTCTCTGCCTATGAGGAGTGTACATTCATTTATTTATTTATTCATTTATTTATTATTTTTAAAAAAAATATATTTTTATTGATTTTAGAGAGGAAGGGAGAGGGAGAGAGAGAGAAACATCAATGATGAGAGAGAATCATTGATTGGCTGCCTCCTGCACGCCCCACATTGGGGACTGAGCCCGAAACCTGGGCATGTGCCCTTGACCAGAATCGAACCTGGGACCCTTCAGTCCAGAAGCCGATGCTCTATCCACTGAGTCAAACTGGCAGAGCGGGGAGTGTACATTCTGGTGGACTCACCAGCCCGAGTGCCACCAAAGGCTCTGTTCTCACAAAACCTCCCCTTACCACTTTTGGCCCTGTTGATATCTTATCCCTTTAAGGCCTAGAGATCATGACACATGTACCCTGCATGACACATGGCCCCAGTCCATGGGCTCTGCATATATGCATATATGTTCCCCGGTTAACCTCTCCTCCCCGACCCCCTCACCACAACCTTCCCCCTGAAATTCATCAGTCTATTCCACAAATAGCTTTCTGAGAGGCAGAAATGGTTACTTTCACCCACATCAGCACCCTTTCATGACAGCACTAAAGAGCAAGTAGAGGACAGGACCTCTCACTCATAATACTTAGGGAGCATCGCTATCGGCCAGAACAGTAACTATCCGCTGTGCTTGCACTAGTGCTCCAGCTGTGAAGCAAACACACAGTCTCTGCCTATGGGGAGTGTACATGCTGGTGGACTCACCAGCCCGAGCTCCACCAAAGGCTCTGTTCTCACAAAACCTCCCCTTACCACTTTTGGCCCTGTTGACATCTACCTCTTTAAGGCCTAGAGATCATGACACATGTACCCTGCATGAGACATGGCCCCGTACAGTCCTCAGCTCCTTTCAAAATAAAGACAAAAGGGGGCACGCTGGGCAGTTTGGGTGTTGGGGCCGTGGAGGTAGGGCTGCCCATCCTGGGTGGAGAGTTCCCTCTCTCCAGCTGCCTGCAGTCAGAGCATGCCTCCCATGACCTGGGGACCCCCAGGCTCACTTGCTTATAAAGACATGGTCCCCCTGCCTACACTTCTGTTGCTGGAGAACAACCAGGCAGAGCAGCTGGGAGGAGCAGGCGAAAAACCCCCAAAATGTTTGGGGTGGAAATGATCAGACCAGTGGAGGAATTGACTTACATACTGCTTTTTCATTCTTTGGTTACAGATACTGTTTGCAAGCATCCTTTGACTCTAAGAGGCTTTGCCGTGTTCATTATTTTTTGGTGTGGGTAAGGCTCATCGAGGGCTGTGTCCTATTCTTTGAACTTCCTAAATTCTCAGTACCTTTTAGGGTAAAACTCATGTCCTCAGGATAAAAATAGTAATAATTTCATAGACTAGTATCTTATAGTATAGTAGTAATGCATTAGAAATAATAATAATCTTTCCTGAGCACTAATTGTCTGTTGGACATGATCTCATTTAATCCTCCCCATGACATACTTGCCCATGATCTGCTTGCTTTTATTATTTTCTTATCACCACTTTGCAGATGAGGGAAGCAAGCCCCAAGGTCTCCCAGTTAGGAATTGGGTGCCTGGTGGTTCAACCAACATGTTCTGGAATGAAGATGAAAGGAACTTGAGCATCAGTCTGTGCTCCTCCTGGTCCTTCTCTTCCCACCTTCGTAAACAGGCATTATGACTGAGCAGGATGCCCTCTCTAGCCTAGCCCTCGCCTCCAGGGGACACCCAGCACAATTTTCTACTTGCTATGACAGGACGCTGGGCACAGGGATCCGTTGGAAGAGGGTTTTTTCCCCCCAATATGTTTTTATTGATTTTTAGAGGGAGAGGAAGGGAGAGGGATAATGAGAGAGAAACATTGGTGAGAGAGAGAAATATCGATCGGCTGCCCCCTGCACATCCCCTACTGGGGATTGAGCTCATTACCCAGGCATGTGCCCTGACCAGGAATTGAAGTGGTGACCTCTTGGTGCAAGAGTTGATGATCAACCACTGAGACGCCCTGACCAGGAATTGAACTGGTGACCTCTTGGTGCAAGAGTTGATGATCAACTACTGAGAAACTGGCCAGGCTGGAAGAGTTCTTCCTGAAAGCATCTTGGGAGAATAACTACTGGGACAGATGGAGGCTGAGTGACAGAAACCCAAAAGCTGTGGCAGCCTGTGGAGCATGGACAATATCTGACTTCCTTGCTGGTATCATTCCATACATTGTTGGCATCTATGTAAAGAAGTCTTAATGAACTAACTCTAAGAGAAATGACAGGCTAACTTGCCTTTCATTTGTTTTCCATAATAAATAGAATATTTTTTGAACACTCTCAGTCATTAACATTTCAATTTATTCATGCATTTTCTCTGTGGTTCCTACTGGCAATATTACATAATTATATCTGCCATATAACCATGGACTTTGACAGCTCTCTGCATGCCCATAAGGACTGCTCCCACTGTCTTTGTTAGCCTGTTGGCTTGAGGAGACAGTTTGCTTTCTTACACCATCCTACCTACTTTTTGCACATAGATTGTTAAACAGGGAAACAAGGCCAGTGAATTAAGTGATGAGGAACTGGGTGAGAATACAAGCTAACTTTTGCCATGTGCTAGCCCCTGATCCAAGCACTTTATGTGTATTAACTTATTTAATCCACCTGCAACCCTATGGGGTAGAGTCTATTATTACCAACACCTCCACTCTTAATGATGAGGAAGCTGAGACACTGAAAGACTGAGCAATGTGCTCAAGCTCATGCTAGGTTAGTGAGTGGCCAGGCCGGGCTCCGGACCCTACACTCTTCCTTACTACATTATGTCACCCTCAGGGACGAGTGAGTCCGGGCACATAACAAAGGCCTGCTCTGTCCACATGACCTGACCCTTACATATAAATGACGACTGTTGCTGTTGGATTTTTGGGTTCAAAAGTGTGAGAAAAAAGTGGTCAAGCATGACTAAATACCCTTTTCTTATTCTTGCCTCAAACTTCCAAATCATATATTTTGTGTAAAGGCCATGGCCTTTTGAGAAGTTGTTAGGTGTCATACATGTGGAGCAGGCATACATTTTACTAAACAACTTTAAAACATCCCTCACCCCAGGTTTTAGCATTTGAAGATCAGCATTGTCCATGTGCTGCTGTCAGGCATTCCTAAATTCAAGGGCACTTTCTGAATTTATAGGCATAACAACTTTAAATTACAGATGAGTTTTCAGTCGAGCCTACGCAAATCAGCGCATCTGTTAGGAAAGCAAATTCTGCCTGGGCACCTGCAAGGCAGTAACTTATGGTAGCAACAGAGATGTGTGTATGTTCCCGTTAAAGTAATACATCAAAATAATTATGCCTGTGCTCTGGCCTTAGAAGCACAAACCGAGGTGACTCAGTGGTGAGGGAAGGAGGCTCAAAGGAATCTTTTAATTTTAGAAAACAGGCATTGCCGTCAAAGAAATTGCCCTCTTTAATTCATTAAAAATTACCACAGTCCTTTCAAATGAGAATCAAACTAATATTTCTTAATGCTTGCTCATCGTGAATATTATGCCAATCACTGCATTACTTTGGGTTGATAAATATTCAGAGGATAAATGAAGCCCACAAGATGGATTAATTCTCCAGCAGTACAAACAAAAACTTTCAATATTTTCTATCACATCATTAAATGCTGTTTGTTTTTCTAGAACCAGCACTTGGGACATGTTAATTAATTGCTTCAAGAAGACAGACATGTTTTGTGGTTGACATTTGAAATCAGATGTTTATAAACCCCGCATGACACTGCTGGTGAATTACACTTGCAGGATCGATCCTACCTGCAGAAGTCCGGGGGCACCATGCCGTACACGTTGATCCTGTCACAGAGCTCCAGCGCGATGGTCATTGTGAACCAGCCAGTGCTGAGCCAGGTGTTGGAGATCTTCCTGGAAGCAACAGCAGTTCAGTCTGTAGACTGGTAAGATAATCATTATACCCACCACCATCTTAGACCCTTTCTGGAGCAAAGCTGACTGTGAACACACACACACCCCCTCTCTCCGTTTGGTAAATAACTGGAGCTTTTTACTCGAGAGATAGCTCCACCAACACCACCAGGTTGCACGGTACAATCATAAATGATGATGAGCCACCATGGTAGACTTGTGACACTAAAGGATGCTCAAGGGACTTCCTCATCATCAAAGATGATGGTCAATGTTTCAGTGCTCAAGTGCATATTGCCACAACTCAATTTCCTGTCAGATGATAACCCCCTTGTGTCAACTCTTTATTAACTAGAATACTTGACTAACCAGAAATATTCCTTGTTCATCAAGCGGTGTGGATAATAAAGAGCTCATTACATCCGATTAAACGCACATGTGTCTATTAATTGATTGTTCTTTCAAACAATCTAGTTCAGCTGTTCTCAACCTGTGGGTCGAGACCCCTTTGGGGGTCGAATGACCCTTATTCCCAAGGTCAGACTGCCTGACTCTGCCCAGCCCCAGCCCACATGTGATGTGAATAACAGGACAGGGGTCGCCTAAGACCATCGGAAAACACATATATAATTACATATTGTTTTTGTGATTAATCACTATGCTTTAATTATGTTCAATTTGTAACAATGAAAATACATCCTGCATATCAGATATTTACATTACGATTCATAACAGTAGCAACATTACAGTTATGAAGTAGCAACGAAAATAATTTTATGGTTGGGGTCACTACAACATGAGGAACTGTATTAAAGGGTCGCAGCATTAGGAAGGTTGAGAACCACTGATCTAGTTGAAGCTTGTCTTCAACTAGACTAATGGCAACATGTTGATTGAATGTCTTTCCTAAGGAGCACAGTAAGTTCTCACTTAACATCATAGATGGATTCTTGGAAACTGCCACTTTAAGCACAATGACTTATCACAAAACCAATTTTACCATAGGCTAATTGATACAAGTAAGAGTTCCGATGGCATATTTCTAGTAACAGGAACATCACCAAACATCTAAATAAAGACCCCAAACAGTTCAAATGTTAAACATTAAAATAAATGTGAGATATATATACATTTAAGAAATATTAATAAAAAAGTAAGATGAATAGTTTCCAACTTCGTTTATTCCAGTTCAGGGTCATGGTTGGCCGGAACCTATCTTAGCAGCTCAGGGCACAAGGTAGGACCCACCCTGGACAGGATGCCCTTCCATCACAGGGCACACTCCCACCCCCATCCCCACACACCCAGACTGGGACAATGTAGACACACCAGTTCACTTCCCCGGCACATCTTTGGGATGTGGGAGGAACCTGGAACATCTGGAGAAAACCCACACAGACATGGGGAAAACATGCAAACTCCACACACACACAGGGACTCTGGCTGGGAATTTTTTTTCCTCCTCATGAACATTATGACAAAGCATCTTGAGCAAAACGACGCTATTTGAGGACCTGCCGTACATTCATTTGAGAGGGGCTAATGACAAGAGGAAAGGTACCAAAGCAATGCTTATGTTTAAACAAGATTTGCTTTGTTTTACCTCAGAATATTCAGAGCCCTCTGAAAATTTTTATTAGAAGACCAAAAATTGACAAAGGTGAAGGAATGAATCTGTGCATTCCAACATTTATTCACTTATCCACTCAAACATCAGTATTGAGCTCCAACTACGTGCCAAGCCTAAGGATAACCGTGAAGACACAACATCAAGGTCTAATTTGACCTGTAAGAATGACTCGCTCTACTACACTATGCTGCTGTGGACAGTAATTCAATTCTTTGGGGTTGCACTCTTACTCCCCCTTCCCCCGCCAGTGCTTATGGCATGCCTCATCAGCCAGCTTCAAACACCTATCCCCAAGGTCAGACTGCCTGACTCTGCCCAGCCCCAGCCCACATGTGATGTGAATAACAGGACTGCTGAAAAGCTTTTGTACTTGCACTGTGTGCCACCCCTCTTTCAGAAGGAAGGATTTTTGTTAAGCAGGTTGCATTATTTCCATTTCACATGAAGAACAAAAAAGGCATTTTAAAAAGTCCTTTCTTTTGTCAAATACCTGACAGGAATGAGTGATTTAGTCATTCTCGAATTCATGGCTTCAACGTTCTGGTGCTTAATGCCTTTACTCATTTTTGTTTTCCGTTCCATTGTATCCTGACCCATTAAGAGCCCAGGAAGTACATTGAAAAGCTCCTAGAGATGAGGACACCATGGGTTTGTATCTTACCAGCTTCTGTCACTAACCCGCTGAACGACCTGAGGCAGATTATTGCTGGTCTCTGGGCCTTGATTTCCTACCTGCAAAGCGGGCATGGGAAGCTCCCTCTTCCTGGGCTCTTTTGAGGACTAAATGAGAGACACCACACTTAAAAAGTACCCAGTCTGATGTGTTGATACATGGAGATCCCTTCTTCCTCTCTGGGTTGCTAGGTTGGAGCAAATGGACTAAATAATTCAGCATCCCTTCAGTGCATTTTAGGAATCACAAAGAAACGGATATCCTTCCAACACTCTGCTACTCACTTTTGTGTAGGAGCCACCATCAGAAGTCAGGGCAGTAATTACAACATTCTAGAGCAGGGGTGGGCAAACTTTTTGACTCGAGGGCCACAATGGGTTCTTAAACTGGACCGGAGGGCCGGAACAAAAGCATGGATGGAGTGTTTGTGTGAACTAATATAAATTCAAAGTAAACATTATTACATAAAAGGGTACGGTCTTTTTTTTTTTTTAGTTTTATTCATTTCAAACAGGCCGGATCCAGCCCGAGGGCCGTAGTTTGCCCACGGCTGTTCTAGAGCCTCTAGCTTATGTGTGTATTAACAATCCCCATGTCTTCTCACCAGGGATATTTCATCAGACCTTTGGGAATGAAGGAGGTGGGATAGAGCAGAAATGACTAAACTGGAAGGGAGACGGGAAGGAAGTTCCTTGCCTCAAATTAGAGCCTGTCTTCACCTACGTGGCTGTGACAATGGGATGAATGGCCAGGTGTTCTAGGCTCAAACAGGTGAGTGAATAGCTGGGAGGAGCGGAGCCCAGATCTGGAAAGCCTACCCATGTCTCTATGCTTTTAGAGTTGTCCGAAACACCATGAGGGTATTTCCAAATGGCAGAAGTTCCTCCATGATTTTGGCTTTCTTTTGTGTGTTGTAGTAGTGATCACAAGCTACAGCCTGAAATACAGGAGAATATGGCTTACAGAGAAAGGTTTTGTGGGTAAAAATGGGAAGAATACCAAGTGGAAGACTAAAGAAACTAAAGAATTGTTTAAAGTGCCACTTAAAATTCCCCAGACTTTCTAAATAATAGCCTTTTGGGATCACATGCTATAGAAATGCAACTGCTTTGTGCTGTCTTTCTTAAAAAGATCTGAATTCTTTTTTCCAACAAAGGAATAGCTACTGTTTTTACATTTAATCAGCTGTAATGAAGGAATATGAAGAGCTGTCATGTGCTTATTAGGGAAAATTATCAGATATTCTTTTATATGATGAAGTAACACACTGAGCCGATAATTCCATAGTGCACACTAAATTACAATTAAAGGCCTTTCTGCTCCACCAGAATCTCATTTATAATCTCTATGGAAATATTCTTCCTGCAGTTATTTCATTTATGCTTCCTTTATTTAATTACTATAATATTGGTTCTGAATCATATTTTCCTAATGTACCCTTATTCAATTATAAAGTTATTTTCAAGTACAGTTACTTTCTAATGTTAAAGAATACCACTTGGCCATCTATCTCATTTGTCATGCTTCTTAATTGCAGATTGTTCCTGAGTCATTTTTTTCTCCACTTTGAAGTAGGGTGAAACTTCTATAAATCAAAATCTATTGAATTATTCTATTTCTTTAAAATATTAGCCTGAAGTGAATGTCCTATCATGAGATGGACACAATTAGATATGCCATACTTTGTGTATCTTTGATACATGCTACATTTTTGTTGGGTTTCAAGAAAAGCTTATATAGAGGAAATACTGTGGGACCCTAAATGTTTTGTGTGTTAGTTTACAGTAGTTTTGTTCTGAAGGGCTGTTTTGGACTTGGTTCTGTTAGCTTGGAGTAAGTTGCAGGTTAAGAATATAGACACATGAGAATATTGAATCAATACAATATTGTTTTCTTTAAGATAGTTTCCTAAAGGTAAGAGGCACAGAGATTCTTTGGCATCCTGCAAATCATATGTGTGATTCTCCTGAACACGGACTATGGAGCCTCATACATGAATGTCTGCATATGAGGGGCGCAGTAGCCAGTCCAAAAGTTTGGTTTCCTCCTTCCAGCTGGACTCACTTGGGAGACAGACCTATTGAGCAACAGGCTCCACTGGCCAGAATTTGATGAATTTAGTGAGTGAGATACGTCTTGATGTGAAATTATTTCCCAAAGACCCAAGTGAAGGGTGGAATGAATAGTCTCCAAATTTCCAACTTAAAATGATTTCTTAAGCAGTTCCATAGCAATGGGTAATTATCCTAAATAGAAAACACTGCAGCAGTGTTTTAGGAATATTTAAAATTAGCCAACAACCATTAAACTAAAAAGAGAGACGTGCTTTCTATTGAAAAGATTGTTTCTACTTCTTTTGAGTTTTCTAACCAGTCAAAGATTAAACTATAAATAACTCCCCTCATTATTCTTCCCTTATAAAATGCTCTCTTGATTAAATAACTCATTTAAATGAATGACATTCTCTTTTATTTGTGGTTTTTAAAGGGCAATAAGTGACTGGATTTCATGGCAGCTTGTGATGATGACCTATGTGATCTGCTGGTTGGGCTGACCAGGAAAGGAGGCCACAGTGCCAACAGCCAGCTCCCCTTCTCCTCTTTCAATCAGATGCCACACCCACTCCTGCCTAGACCAGCTCACAATGGTTAAAATGTTTCCAGGATTTAAGAAGAAAGCTCTGCCTGGTCAGTGTGGCTCAGTGGTTGAACATTGACCTATGAACCAGGAGATTACGGTTCAATTCCTGGACAGGGTGTATGCCTGGGTAGTGGGCTCAGTCCCCAATAGGGGACATGCAGGAGGCAGCCAATCAATGATTCTCTCTCATCATTGATGTTTCTATCTCTCTCTCCCTCTCCCTTCTTCTCTGAAATCAATAAAAATATATTAAAAATAAATAAAAAGAAAGCTCTTCCAAGCAAAGAATTTGGGAACAATTGGTTTTGTTCTCCAAAAATGAGCTGCCTAAACTAGCCAAACAGTGGATTTAGTACTTTATATTCTTTATTTATCACATCTCTTTAGTTTTAAGATATGAGATTGAGTCAGCAACAGTTGTAAGGGAGGGAGTAAATTACATGATTAAATGTATGTTAATTATAAAAGTACATGCTTGGAATTAAGGAAACAAGGGAAATTAATTATTAGACCAGTCCTTTGAGGCCTAGTCCCTATGTTCATTTCACATGTGAAGTCACTGAAAGACTAGCTAACATGTCTAAGGACACACAACTAATGAGGGGTAGGGTCAGCTGTGTATTTGAAATACAACGCACTGCTGCTTCTGATACCTAGCTGCTCTTTTTTTTTTAAACCTAGATTTTGCCAGCTCATGAGCCTGCATGTCTGCCTCATCTCTGGCCGTGACCCCCCACTCCACCCCCTACCTCTCCCCCGCCTCCACCGCAGCTTTAGGGAACTTTTCTCCAATTAAGGGTTAAGGTCAGAGTTAGGATTAGGGTTCTTCCACCTCTGACTCCTGTGCCCATAAGGAGGTTTCTCTCTTCTCTTCCCAGGTTCTTCTTTTCCTGGATAAATAATTATTGGCTTAGTTCTCAGCTTAAATACACCTTTCTGAGAAAGCCTTTCCCTCATTCCTCATCTCCTAGACCAGTGCTTTTCAAAACATTTTAACTTACAGTGAGAAATACGTGTTACCTCGTGATTGAGCATATATACATACGTGTGTATGCATGTGTGGTTTTCATTTCATTTCATTTTTTGAAGTGTGCATTCAGTGGTTTTTAGTATATTCAGAAGGTTGTGCAATCATCACCACTATCTAATCCTAGAACATTTTTGTCACCTCATAAAGAACCTTCTACATATGTGTAGTTATATGTCTTTTTTTGAAGTGTGCATTCAGTGGTTTTTAGTATATTCACAAGGTTGTGCAATCATCCCACTATCTAATCCTAGAACATTTTTGTCATTTCATAAAGAACCTTCTACATATGTCTAAAACCAAAACAAATATTATTTAATGAAGCAATACTTTGAGAGATGAAGGCTAATAGTATCTGTTCTATGTCATTCTTTCCATTACATAAAAAAAAAAAATCCTGCCGTGACTCACTACGCTGACTTCATGTCCCATTACTGAGTTGTAACTAACAATTGGAAAAGCTTTCCCTAGACTAGGGCAGGCGTCCTGTCCTGCTCATCAGAGCACCACCTTCTTCCCCTCGCTGACGCTCAGCACGCTGGCCACTACTCGGTGCATGTTCACCCGCCCTGTAAGCTTTATATTCTAGGAAGGCAGGGTCTAGATCTATCTCGTTTTTTACTCCATCTCTGGTGCCTGGTGCAGGGAAATAATAGGTATTCAATAAATATCAGCCGACTGAATAAATGCTTGCATTTGAAAAGAAAAAAACCAACCCATATGTTTCTTTTTGGTCAGTGTTCACACAAATGAAATGAAATGCAGTAAAGCTATTATCTCACGTTTGTTACCAGTGTAAGCCAGCAGCTGTGTGGCCTCTTCCTCACGAACACGGACTTGGCCCTGACTTATCCATACAGCTGTCTCATTTCTTCATTTCACTCTGCCTTACACATTCAGCTTGAGCAGCCCAGTTTCCGGGAGGACCTGCAGATGAGCTCTGTCAATGGCACGAGCAGTGGGGCCACAGTAGTTGCTTGGGGTGAATCAGCCAGCGACAACATTCCTTCCCCTCCCCGGTGCCCCTGCAGGGACCCCCAACCCCGCCCTCTGTACCTGTCTTTGCCAGTCTCCCGCTTGAAGAGCTCATCGAACTGCAGCATCTTGTGGCGCGTGATCATGAAGGCCTTCAGCCGGGGCAGCACCTGGCTCAGCAGGTGCAGGTTGTTGTACACCTGGCCCTTGCCGTCGCGCCGCATGTAGCTGCTGGGGCCCCAGAAGATGAACACCGTGCCCTGGCTCACGTTGAGCAGGTCGTGGCGGTTGCGGAGGATCCTCTGGATGCTGGAATGGGCGATGACCCTCAGGCTGGTGCGGTTGCCCACGTCGCGCCCGTAGCCGCGCGTGGGGGCGTCATTCATGCGGATGACACACTCGGTCTGGTCGATCTGCGGGCCTTGCTGGCTGCGCAGCAGATGTCCCGAGCTTGTCACCAGGGCACAGTCCCTGCAGTGCATCTTCAGGGGCTGAAAGGCACGGGGAGAAGGACACCATTAGCGGCAATTATAGGAAAAAAGCTCGGAACAGTACCTGGCATTGAGAGACCATCCAAAAATATATTAGCCAAAGCAGCCACTCTCTCCTTTGTGCTGAGCCTGGCTGTGCTCTACAGAGTCCCTTTTACTAGTATTTTAGCACAGCCCCCTTCCTCATCCTGTTATACTTGCTGCACACCTTTACAGACCCACTGTCCCTCACGAAGGTATGAACTTGGAGGGATTCTGCTTTTCCCGTCTATTTCATTCTTACTGCCCAGCATAGTTCCTGTCACCTAAGAAGAATTAGATGTCAAGTGAATGATAAATGTGCAATGACAGAATCTCCATTGCATAAGCCCATGTATCAATTATCAATCCAAAGTGATTAGTACTGACTTACTGAGTGCCTGCAACGTGCTCTATTTGGGCTGATAATCCCAATAGCAGCTTATTGAACAATCACTGAACGTGCTCTATTTGGGCTGATAATCCCAATAGCAGCTACAACTTATTGAATGATCACTATACCAGGTCCTATGGTAAGGATCAGGCTCAACCCCCTGCAATTGCTATTTTTACAGGTCAAACAGTGGCTGTTCCAAATGGCTCAATCTAATACTGTATTTTAATGATATCAAGGTGACATGGGGGCATTAACTATCCTCGGTTAAAGATGAAAAAAACGGAGACTTGAGATTAGTGGTTTGCCAAAGTCCCACGGCTAACAGGTGGAGAAGACTAGGCTGGACCCATCCTGTGAGCCCCTCGCAGTGAGGTGGCTGACCTCAGGTGCTCTGGTTCTGAAGACAGAGCTATGGCTCAGGAAACTCCCAGGGTAAAGGCAAGTCTAACTCTATGCTGCACTAAATTGGATCCAATGTCCTGAGACTGTACAGGGAGTCAGTGTATCCTGTTCAAAGCTAACAGGGAAGAAGGGCTGAGGCTCCCGGGAAAATCTAACAATGCAACTTTCCTTTCGAGCCTTCTTGATTGTCATTTTCTTGTGCACTCACTGGCCTTGGCCTCAGGCCCTAATTACATTATCTTCAAACAGCAACTGAGAGATGTTTCTCATTAAACACGAACAGGGCAACGTTTAATGTGTTAGCACACAGGTTGTTCAGAAAGCAAATCATTGGTTCGGGGGGTTGAAATGAGCATCGCCATTGCAGCTGTCGCTGTTGGGCACTACATGGCCAGGGCTTCCACAGGGCACACTCGTGTTCACCGGGTGAGGTCTGTGACTCTGAGCTCCAGGCTCTCTACATTTTTTAAGATGGACCAACTCAATTTCTCTCCCTCTACCCTTAAAACGGGACAAAATGTCATTCCAAAATTATAGCATCTCAGGAATTACAATTTGCATGTCTTTTCCCAGGCTATGCTTAGATGTTTCTTTTGGAGAAACATATTTGTACAGCACCCAAGAATATTGATCAACACTTAACCGTCAATAAGGTGAATTAAGAGCATTAAAGCTAGTGTCACAGCAATTTGTGGTATAGTCTGTTCTTCAATTTGGGGGTAACTTTGGATCCAGAAATACCTGGGTTTGAAAGTGTGACTCCATTACTTGCTAGTTCTGCATCTTTGGGCAAATTTCTTAACATCTCTGAGTCTGGTATCCTTGCCTGTAAAGTGGCTGCAACCCTCCAGTGGCACCAGGAGACCACTTTTCTGTCCCTGAAGGCTGCCCATCTCCCATCTCCTCACTCTCACGCCAGGACATATTCCTTCTGCTGTTAACTCATCAGCATTTCATTCTTACCTTTCTCTTTTAAATTGGTGACAGAGAGCATCAGGCAAGAGGGAAAGAGACCTAGCACTGACCTCGGGCTCTAGGCTTTGCTAATTTTTGGAATATTAGTTCTAGTTCTGTGAGATATGCTACTGGTATTTTAATAGGAATTACATTGAATCTATAGATTTCTCTGGGTAGTATGGCTATTTTAATAATGTTAATTCTTCCTATCCAAGAACACAGTACATGCTTCCACTTGTTTGTATCTTCCTCAATTTCTTTCTTCAGTTTCCTATTTTGTTTTTTTTTTTACCACAGGTTTTTTACCTCCTTGGTTAAAATTATTCCTAGGTACATTATTTATATTTGCAAAGAGAAATGGGATTGTTTTCTTAATTTCTCTTTCTAATAGTTCATTATTGGTGTATTAAAATGCCACTGATTTCTTTTTTTTTTTTTTTTTTACCACAGGTCTTTTACCTCCTTGGTTAAAATTATTCCTAGGTACATTATTTATATTTGCAAAGATAAATGGGATTGTTTTCTTAATTTCTCTTTCTAATAGTTCATTATTGGTGTATTAAAATGCCACTGATTTCTGAATATTAATTTTGTATCCTACTATTTTACCAAATTCATTTACCAGTCCTAGTTGTTTTTTGGTGGAGTCCTGAGGATTTACTATATACAGTATTATGCCATGTGCAAATAATGACAGTTTTACTATCTCCTTTCTAATTTGGATGCATTTTTTTTCTTCTTGTCTGATTGCTGTGGCAAGAGCTTTCAGTACAATCTATCTAATCTAATAAAAGAGAAACATGCAAATCACCTTACCTTCGCTACCCCCCAAGCCACGCCCACCAGCCAATCAGAGCGACTATATGCAAA